AAAGATGTGGCAGGCCTAGCCAGAGCGGTCCGCGAAAGGGGCGATGTGATGCTGCCCGGGAAAGGAAACCAATGATGTTGTAGTGCAAAGGAATGGTTTTCTTAGCTGTGTTACCTGTAGCCTCTTAATCGAGTTAAATTGGTTGTAGCTATGTTTGAAAAAAAAAAAAACAACAGACTACAATTGTGTATTTTGTTCTTTTTTGAACATCTGTGATGTTCAGCTAATCTTGTATGCGGCTTCCACCACTACTTTTAGTAATGTTATGAGGTAGCTAACAAAAAACAGGCCTACTTTTATTTTTGTGAAACTTCCTAAAAATGCTTGTTTTTATTAACCTCGACTGTTGGCCTAAATGTTACTCGGTGGTATTATCTTAAAGCTGTGAAAAAGTTTACATGAGTTTTTACAGTGGTAATTGGAAAGCTGTTGTTATTAGAGATGATATTTGTAAGAATCAAAGGGTGTTGGGCACAGCTTCTTTACGTAGATGTTTAGACAAGTCCACCAGAGTGATGCTTTCCTGAATCTGCTTCTCATAAACAGGGAAGTCAAGGGTGTGGTGATCATTAGCAGCCTTGGCTGTAACAGCCATGCAACAGTGGAGCTGAAGACCCTGAGTGTAGTGAGGAAGGCCAGTAGAACAGTACTGAACCTGGACTCCAGCTTATTCAGGCAACAGATAGTTGAGATTTTAGGGGAGGCAACTTTGAAAGCTGGGGGAGCCAAAGAGGTGAAGGTCTGTAAGGACAGGGACATTCCATCCTGATACTCATGACAACCAGTGAACGTGTTGAGGGATGGGCACAGCTATACCTGCACGCCAGGGAGAGCAAAAAAGAACATGGGCAGGAGGTGGAAACAAGGAGAGGCTATAAAGGAGGATAAAATACGTTGTCTGGACATGTAGGTATGATGCTAGAAAAGCCAAAGTTCTAGTGTTGAAACTAGCAAGGAATGTCACGGGTGACAAGAAGAACTTTTTACTGCTACATTAGCATTGATGTGGGCAGCGGGGAATGTGAACCTGCTGCTAAATGGAGCAGGTGATTTTTGAAGAGCGGACACAGATAAGGCTGAAATACTTGGCTTTCTTGCACAGATCCTCAGAGCTGATGTCCCCTAGTCTTTGTGCCTAAGCGACAGGATTCAACGAGAGGAACACCCAGCAGTGGAAAAGTGTCAAGTTAGGAATCTCTTGAGAAATCTCAACCCAAAGAAGTCCATAGGACCCACTTGGGGTGCATGCTGAGAGAGCTGTCATTGTGAGGTTGCTCTCAAGATCTTTGAGAGGTTGCGGAGGTCAGCTACAGCTTAGTCAGCCTCACTTCAGTCCCTTGGAAAATCATGAAGCAAGTTCTCTTTAAAGTTCTTTCTAGGCCTGTGAAGGAGAAGGCAATTGGGAATAGCCAATGTGACTGTACTTGCAACCTGATTGATTACCTTAGGTGATGAAATGACTAGATCTGTAGATCCAAAGCCATGGATGTTATCTACGATAGCTTTAGCAGAACTGTTGAAACAGTCTCCTGCAGCATCGTCCTCTTTGAGTTGGGATGTTACAGATTGTAAATGATTAGATGAATAAAGAAAGAAAAAAAAAAAATAAAAATGCCCTGGCTGGATTGTCAGGCTCAGAGAGGTTCATACTTTAGGATTAATGAGCATGTATCCCTTCTCGCCAGTGACACGCCTTCACAGTAATAGCTAGTGAGTTGTCAGCACTCTGGCTGTAGCATCTGGAGTTGATTCGGGGATTTCTTCTGGAGAAGCTTCCTGTGTAGATAGAATTTTATGTTGTTATTTTTTGTTTTTTATTTTTTCCCCAGCCACCAATGATCAACCTGAATGTGGATGATGATGTACAGTTTGTTAGAAGTAAGTTTCTGTGTTCCATGTGTGAAGATTATTCTCGAAGTATTTCATGCCTTTTTACAATGCTGCGCACATGCTGTAAACAAATGAGAAATTGTTGTGTATCTAATATAGGCAGAACAGGAGGAATGCACACTAAATGAAATAACAGGTATGAAGCAACACATTCTTCATATTTTTTCCTCTTTAAGTCTGCTGCAAGTGTACCTTCCCATGCTATAAAGAAAATAATGTATGGGAAAAGTGAGTTAGAGAAAACTGGAACATCGTACTGGCAAATGTTGTTTTTCAACTGGTATTAACAAATGTAAATACCAGATTGAGTGAATTTGCATTGTTTTTTTGTTTTTTCTCACCAATTGAGTAGTCTCACACATCTCACAGTAACACAGTCCAAAACAGAGTTGTTGAACCTGTCACTTCGTGGTAGAGAGTGCACAATCTTGTACCCGTGGAACGGGTGTGACATGCTACAAGTAAAAGTGCATGTCTCATTTATCCTGGGAAAAATACTGAAGTTCGAAGTAGAGTGTTTTCTAGGGAAGTTTCCTTACACACGCGCACACGTTCTCTTCAAGCATTCGACTGCAGTATTGCTCAGTGACACAGTTTGATTGCATGTGAAATACTTGGTTTGCTTTGCAGGAGAAAAGACAAGTGACAGCAGGGTTTGACAGTCTTTCATTGACTGTAGTATCAGATGAGTGCGTGTGTTCTGCCTCTCTTGTGCCTCAGAAATACATGCTTTTTTTTTTTTGCTTTATGCACATATAAATAACGATGTAAAGTTAAACAAGCTGTTCACCAGTAACTTTGCTGCTGCTTCTGCAGTTATGCTGGTAATGGATACACATAGCACAGGGATCTCTTAAACCTGTGGTGTCCTGTTTATAGATCTTTAGATCTGTAGATCTTTGTTGCATTAGTAAATGAAACAATGGCATGCCCAATTCTTTTTGCCCTGAGGCCAAATAGTACAATCAGAATTTGTCCATATATTTAAGGTCTCATACTCCAGAACAGATTGGTCACATCCAAGCTGAAACAGACCCTGAAGCAAGGCTAACTCCTGAGCAATGCCTGAATGCTCTTGGGGAGATCTACTGGTTAATCTGGCCCAAAAGGATGTGGAAAAAAATTTTTAAGTGTTCTGGAGCAGATGATAGAGCTGCAGTTCTCTGGCAGTGCCCTGACACTAACTATAGTTAACGGAAGGTTTCATTGGTTTTCATTCAGTAGCCTGAGCTCATGTTCTGCAGAACACACAGTAACACAACTATTAGTATCCGTGCCAGCAGTCTGAAGTCACAAACATGGAAAGCATGAAGACGTGTGCTTGCTATTAGGTGCAGTCATGGCAAACAAATGAAGGTAGATATAGTTAACAGACTTTACGTGATGCTGTTGCAGTGTCAGTGTTAATAATTGCAGTGCTTTCAGACTTCTTTCTTCATTGTTACTTCATCACTATTGATTTTTTTAAGGAACTTGTGTAGTAGTTTACCCTAAATATTCTATCAAAACTTTACAGGAAGTCTGAAAGTCAAAAAGCCTCGATTTGATGCATCCTTGGTTTATTTGACCCGAAGATTCATGGATCTTGTCAAAACAGCTCCAGATGGTGTCCTTGATTTAAATGAAGTAGCAACAACGCTTGGAGTACGAAAACGAAGAGTTTATGACATCACCAATGTGTTGGATGGAATCCACTTAATTCAGAAAAGATCTAAGAATCTTATCCAGTGGGTGTGAGTTGGCTTTGAAACTCCTAATTTCTGAAACAATAACACCCAACAATGTCAAGTAATGTTTATAACTTTGAGAGTATTTTTGAGCATATTGAATTAACTTTAATAGATAAGAATATTTTAAGCTCTTCTGTATCCTTAGGCTGTCTGATTTACGTAGTGTATTAACAAGTATCAAGTGCAAAAGCGCGGTGAAGTGCATTTCAGTAAAGGATGCCAGAGTTCCTGGTTGTTTTCTATTAGTATGCTTCATGTTCAGTGAACAGGCTCTTATTTATATAAACGTACCAGACAACTTTTATGTCCTTCTAGAGGTTCTGATCTTGACCAAGTTGTTGGAAAAGCACCAGAGCATCAAAACCTTAAAGATGAACTCTCTGACTTGTCAGCCATGGAAGAAGCTCTGGATGAATTAATCAAGGATTGTGCTCATCAGTTATTTGAACTAACGGATGACAAAGAAAATGCAAAATATCCTTTTAACTCTTGCATTACTTTAACATGTGGTTTTGGTTGCAAGTACTTGGGTATCTAGTAATAAGTGTAAGCTGACACCACAGGTGTGCAGCAATACTTCATAATGCTTTTTTTATAATGGGAAACTTTTTGGTTCTTTTATATTGGTGTGTACTAGTCACGTGTCCTGCTTTGCACTGTCATGTGCGCGCAGGGGAGTGCTGCTTGTGTGACCTTTGCACTGCAGAAGAATGTAAGTGGGGCAATAATAGCCTTAGTACTCTGACCATCACCTTGTTCTCTCCACTATAGACTTGTCTCGGGGGCAGGTCTTGACCTGTCAGTGAGATTTGAGTTGCTTAGTGAGATGAGAAAGAGGACCCAAAGCAGAGTCCCAGTGGCCTGTTGCCAAGAAGCTGTAATGGGATGTTGGTTGTGTCCTGACAGTGCTTTGTCTCTTGAGGGAGGCTCCAATGCAGTCCCATCTTTCAGATGGTTTTGATAATAGAAAAGGGCTTATAACATGACATAAACACTGGATTTTGGCTTTGAGTTACAGTAGGATATTACTTAGCTCCCTTGTCTGCAAGAATGTTAAAAGTCTGTGCTCAAATGAAATGTGCCCATTTTCTGTACGATATCAGGAAAACTTTCCATTACACCTTACCTGTTCTGGTTAAGAAAATAATTCTATAGTTTTCCAGGAAATTACTTGCATGCATAATTATTACAAAACAAGGAAGTAGTTTCTCAAGGACAGTGTTCCCTCTGCTTTGTAGACTTATGACAGCATCTGTGAAAACTGTTTATCAAATGTGTTTGTTTTTTAATATTGACTATCTCTGATTTTTAAAAAGCTTTTTCCTTCCTAGCGATAATAATTAAAAAAAAGGGGGTTCTGCTTGTTAGCTTTGCTTAATTTTACAAAGCTGGTATTAAAGTAACCTCAGCTGAACTATTTACCACTTTTCTTAAGTTGGTCTTCTGCTTCAAAATGTCTTAGCATCATAGTCTTTGCTTCTGGCCAGTAGCAAATTACTTTACAGAATCCTTGACCAATGTATACACTAGCTTACGTGACATATCAAGATATCCGTAGCATTCAGGCATTTCAAGGACAGATAGTGATTGCAATCAAAGCTCCAGAGGAAACCAAATTGGAAATACCAATTCCTAAAGAAGTAAGTTCTATACATTGCTCTCTTAAGGGAACAAAAGTTCTCAAATTTTATTTTTGCAGCGGTAGTCAGTAACTGACTTCCAGTTTCTTAGTCATGTATAGCAAATATTGGTACTTCATTGTTCTTGTGTTCCGCTAAACAATGCTGCAGGGATAATAGTCTAAAAAACTTATTTTCAGTATTTTTCTGTTTACCTAAATTATTAAACAATAAACATGTCTGAGCTTTTGTTACTTGGTTTTGCTAGAGGGAGTGGAACAGCTGTAATAAATGTTACTTCTTTGCACTATCAGTTTGTTTGATAATTTACTAGGATAATGGAACTTCCAAAGAGCTGTTAATGTTCTTATACTAAAATCTACAAAAATTGTAAATCTAACCAAAGCAATCAATAAGCATGATTTGATAACGAGCTTAATAGTGTATAATGCTGTCTTACTGCTTAACAAGGAGACAGCTGTTGTTCCTGTGATATTAAAGTATGAAATGCACGGTGTGGTTCACAAAGGAAAACATTTTGGCACTCTAGTACATCATGTCAAGATGGATTTTTCCTGGAGATGGGGAGCTGTGCCCTGTCTGCACCTCATGGCACAATGCCCATCCTCCATTCAGGTCGTACAGAGGAGCCATAGCTTTGCCCTCTGCACCCAGTCACACTGTACCTGTGTCAGGGCCTATGTACTGGGAACCCACTGTTTATAGTAGTGCTGTGAAAGAGGGGGAATACTGGAAGTAAGCTTAAGATAACAAATGGGGCTTTAGTTCTGTTTTGCTTTTGCATGTGTATCTTTTTATAATGTTCTTAATTATGTAGTCATCAAATTTGCCTTGCTGTGTACACAGAAAGGGAGGTGATACCGTAGGAAAAAGAGTTATGAATCCGTAGAACCAGAAGATTTAGATCCACTGCATAGGTCTCCAGTGGTTTCACTGGTAAAAGGAGCTGGCTCACCCTGTGGAGATAAAGAAGATAAGATTTCAGAGGCTTCCTGAAGCACAAGAAGGCAGGATTTTAAAAGCTGTATTTTAGGGAGAACAGAATCTTCTTTCCATTGTCCATTAAATTTTATTTGCTCTGTGTCTTGCAATGTGATGTCTGCTGGAGGAAAGCAGGAAAAGTAAAAAAAAGGTTTGGTTGCTTTGCCGTATCATTAATGCTGCTTTGTGCTCTGATCCATTTCCTGATCCATGGTGTTGACTTGTCAAGTTTTGTATTTTGTTACTCTTCCTGAATGAACAGTAAAACTTGGTCATATATCTAAAGGTCAGTCTAAAGACTAACAAATCTAAAGATTTGTTAAGTGCATGTTCATCAAAAATAAAACCTCATTAGCTTAATGGTGCTTAATTGGCCTATCAATCTATATAACAGTCATAGTTTATGTAGAACTGGTAACACAGTTTTAAATAGGTATGTCATTCCTGTATTTGTTCTGTTCTTAATCTATTGGCTTTAAAATATGTGCAAAACTAGATAAACTGATGTGTAAGTTCTGCTCTTCGGTTTATATGCAAGTTGCTGTTTTATAGGATTGCATAGAAGTACATGTGAAGAGCACAAAAGGACCCATTGATGTGTATCTGTGTGAGGTGGAACAGGAGAAGTCAGGTGCCAAAACTTTTGAAGAGATGGATACTGTCCCTTCTGAAACTGAGCCTTCAGTTCCTCCTGATGAAGGTAGCATCTTCCGTTTACAGATTTAACCGAAGTATTACATGGGGATAAAGACAGTCATGCCAGTCTGATAAAGTGCAAAACTGTACAAGTGTAACTTTATGGGCATAGTTTGTGGGCCCAGATGTGTGGGAGTATAGGCAACGCCTGAGAGAGGGGTCTGTGCTGCTGCCTTACCTCGTGACAGCAGGAGGTCAGAGTCCGGCACCTGCGCACGTCGCGAGGCGCTCTGCTTCCCTGACCCTTCCCTTCTGCTCGTGACTGCTTTCCTGCTGGAGCCACGCTCCGCTGCCAGAGCAGTGTGTCGCTGCTCGGCGGAAAGGGTTGTCGTGAGGGTGACGGTGCCGTTTCCGACATGAGACCATGCTGCTCTGCTCAGTACTGCCCTGTCTGCGGGAGGGCAGACGGAGGAGGGGATGCATTATTTTGGTCTCCTAAAACAAGATCGGCTGCAATACAGTCGCTCAGGAGCCCCAGTGCTGCAGGAGTCGTGGTTTAAAAAGAAATGTGGTGGGAATTGCAGTAGCTCAGAACACAAGAGATAAATTATTTTTTAGCAGTGCTGCTTTATAGTTGAGGGGAAGAGTTAACTTTTTAATCTGGGCATTTTTTTTTTACTTCATTTTCTTGTGAAATGACTGAGAATTTTATTTCCTACAAAGACAGTAATTGTGTTCCCTTTTTTTTTTTACTTTCCTTTCAAAGTGAGATCTCCGGGGGAAGAAAAAAACAAACCACCTGAGATGGCAGATTAATTACAAAAATCTAATACAGAATGTAAATATCTGTGATATAGAGCTTTTCCAAAGCCGCTTGGATCTGCAAACTTACTAACCAGAAATGTTCCAAAGTGTTTTAAATTTAAAACAGCAGTGGGTTGGTTGAGTGCTGTCACAGGAACAGGATTGCTTATCTTCCCACGTCGAAAGATGGCAGTTCCTAGAGTTGCTTTTAGGAGCTTTGTTTTCATAATTGCATGTGATCTACAGAGCTTTGGGAAAATGGTATTTTTAGCTTATGAAATAATTTTAAATGATGGAAAACACAGACAATTACTTCTAAAAATGAAGATTTGAAAACTATTTCTGGAATGATCTGCAATCCTTATGAGAATGTATATAATAAAAGCACTTTTCAGTTCTGAGGCTGCACTACTACTAAGCAGAATTGTCACATGAGTGTAACAAAGAACTGGTGTATCAGAAGCCTTCACTAGAGGGAAGATGTAAATATCATGAGAGTTATGCCTTACACTGTGTAGATGCTGTTTGCATTGTTTGCATCCAGCTCTGCATGAACTATGGTATCAACACTGAAGTTAAATAACTGGGCTTTTTGTATATATCTGTATCATGTCTAGGTAGTTACTGATGTAGATTTATTGAGATGGTTTGCATTTCTGCCTTTGTACAGCAAAGAAATAAAATAAGCTTATAAAAATAATAAATAGTCTAATTGGTCAGTGTAATGAAACATGTTGTCTTTGTCGGAATTCACGGGGTAACTACAAACGTTAAAACTGATGCGAAAATTTTAAATCTATTATATGTGGTGCTGGCAGGTAGTTCTGATTCTTGTGATGCTACAATACCGTAGGAATTTTCAGAAGAAACATGACCATCAATAACTACTCAAACCGGTCCCTTCCAGTTTCTAGTTCACATACAGCATAGCTTTAGCCTAGTACCATGATCTCTTTGCGGTTTTAGCTTGCATAATACAGAAATAAATACAAATTACATAAAATACTTTAGAACTACATCTGTATTCATCCATCTTTAGTATCTGGAAAATGAAAATTTTCATACTGGGTTTTCTAAGTGAATTAACAGTCACTGTACCAAAGCCCTACTTGGGCTCGTTTCAATTTGGTATGGAAAAGTGTACGTCGCAGTTCTCGG